GAGAAAAGGTGGACGGGGCGGGCACCGTGCCAGGGCGACTAAGGGAGTGGCGTTAGAACCCGCTTCTGAAAGCAGCGCGCTGCCGGTCCTAGAAAAAGGCATCTCGGATCTGAGAGATAGCAGGAGTAGTTTCCATAAACCGTCATTCAGGAACAACCAAGGCGGAGAGGTTAGGCTCTAATCCTGACGCAGTAAAGTGTGGAACCCGTTTATATCCTATGTATGGTAATGGAGAAATTCCACCGTATTCACTGGGATTTCTCCCAGGAAAGTGAGTGGGAGGACCCGAGTCCTGCTGCCACGCAACCTGCTGGAGAGTAAATCCCACTGAATTTATTGGCACTTCTAAGTAAACATACTTAAGCTGTCCTACCTTTACTGACCTCCCATTTAATCCAAGTCTTACTTCTGAGTAGATTTGCGCAAGACTGAGGTGTCAGGACTGCGCTGCAGGAGCTGTCGTGGGAGTGAGTGATCTGAGGGGTTTCATCCAGGCAGAGAATGGCGGCGCAGTGAAAGAGAGTTCTTTCGAAGCGATGCATGTTTCCAGGTGGGGTGTTACTTCCAGAGTCCCCTGGACTCAGCGCAACCAGTTTAGCAAGTCAAAACGATGCTTCCACTGTTATCCCCTGGGCTTAAACCCGCACCGAGCGCGCGCGCACCCACCCACGCGATCTACCTTTCCCCCAATCAGGCCATGGGGGTGCCTCATTTAATGGTAGTCCAGATCTCATTTTGGGATGCAACTGAGACTTAGGACTGGAGCTATTTTTCCGGAAGGGTACTTCTGCGACTGCAAGTTGAATAAAGCGCGGATGGCAACTAATAGCGACGTGGTCGAATAATGCAACATGAACCAAGTTAGGAGTGGCAGAAGCAGTTTCCAGCTTGCCCCCCTCCCCCATCTGCCTCGGATTTCACAAACTGCACCGGGGGCTTTCTGTAAAAACAACGCAGGTGCTTCTCCTCTGCTCCGAGTCCTCCCCGCGACACACTGTCCTGAAAGAAAGAGGCTCCGCTGAACACAATGTCGGTCGTATGAGGGTCTCCAGATTATAATTGTCAAGAAGACCCCTCCGAGCCACTGAAGGAAATCTGTGCCGAGCGCCAGGTGCTTTTCCTCGCAACGCCACCCTTTCGCGATCCTTCCCCTTGCATGCATCCGCTTCGACTGGGATTAGGGCCTTATTTTGCCCTTTTATTTTTATTGATTGATTTAGCTATTGCATCCTGCATTTTCCTATTTGGTTTTCCAATCAGATGTGAAGCACCTACTGAAACCCCTTAGGTTTAACGGTGCTTACCTCAAAGTAAGCGTGGACATGCGTGCGTAGCCCTAGCAGCGTAGCTACAGCAGGTAAGTGTGCCTAGGAATATAGCATTTACGGGGGAATAAATTTTGTTAAGCCCATAGGATTTACTTCCAAAGTAGGCATTCCTGGGATTGCACTGTTGCTTTCGTTTTGGCACTCTTCTTTAAACAGTACAGAAGAAAGCTAGATCTTGAGGCCAGACGACAACAACCTTGCCTAGCAAACCTGAAGAATTAAAAAGGGCTTTCATCCCAAACCAGTTTGATTCAATCACTAAACAGAAACCTTTTCTGTTTCTTCTCCAGGCAGTAACATTGCACAGAATATAAATAAATAAATCTTGAAATGTCTTTCCTTCTTGCAGGATTTTCTTTCAGCCTTCGGTCGATTTAAATGGTCTTGGCAAATCAAAGCACGTGTCCTTTGAAGAAGGTGTGTAATTGGCGTTTAAGGCATGTATGGAATTCCCAGGTGTCTATAAAATAAGAAAGTGCATTTGGCAGGTCACTTCAAGGTGGAGCAGGTTAAAATCACTCGCACAAGAAGCCCCCTCGCTCCCCCCTGCAACCCCTGTTTCCACTTTAGAAGGGGCCAAACACGTGATATGAATCCGGAAAGGGTTGCCAGTGGGAATAATCAATATTTGTTTGAAAAGAGTCCAAAAAGCCACTGTTTTAATTACAGATTTTCCCCCTCAACCCCCCTATTCTTGGTTAATAATTCAGATGTTCATATTAATGCATTGATCTCATTTTTAATCCGACCCTCTATTAAAGATGCCTGCCTAAAGCAGGCAGATAGAAAGAATCCAAGCAGTGCATTTGACCCCAATCTTTCAATTCACGTTCTTGGAAATAAATCTCACTACTTCTCTGTAAACACATTCAGAACTAAAGATGATTTTTTGGGGAGGGGAGGGAACTTTTTCCTAAACAAAGATGTTATTTCCTTCAAAGGTTTTTCCATCTTCACTAATCCTCAATATAGCCACGTTTCTTTAACTAGTTACAATGCAATCCTGTAAGTGTCTACTCTGAAGTAAATCCCCATTGAGTTCAATGAGATTCATACTCAAGGAAGGGGCTATGGTATTAAAGCGTTAATCTAGATAGCTTGAAGTCTTGTGGCAATTTAAAGACAAACTGGTTTAGCATGGCTGAAACTGTAGCCCATTGCATGAAGGTTTTTTTCTGTAATAGGCTAACTGGTTAGTCTTGAAGGTCTCTTTATTGCTTTTGCGTCAAGAGCCTAGCATGCTACCTCTCTGAAAATTAATCAATCTAGACATTAATCTGATTTATTAATCACCTGCTAGAATCCCTGACATTGGTTAAGAGGTTTCAAAGCCCAGAGAAACCCCCTATTTGTTCTTAAAAGAGCATTGAGTCCCATTGAGTTCAGCTGGGTTTACTTGCACATCAGTTAATATCTGATTGCTTCAAACATGCCAGTTAAAAAAAATCAAATAGGGACTTGTTTTTTAAGGATCTCTGTTTGGGTCCATCAAAGTACATAATGTGCTGTGTCTTTTATTCTCATCTCTTCTACAAGCTGGTTCTCAGTTAATTAACAAACAAAGCAAAAGGAGAAAGATTTCTGTGAATATGAAACACCTTTCATTTCTTGAAAACAAGCATCCTCCTTGATTAAACATTCTGAACAACAAGAAAACTGGCGCGGCACAAACCTTGCTTGATCCGAAAACAAGTCCTCCTCTTCTTTTTTTCCCTATTTCAGTGGCCAACCTGGCTCTGTTTATGATGATACTCAGCCTATGTTTGCCACAGCGGTGTATGTTAGACCCAGACAATAAGAGGGTTTGTTTGCTTCTCTTTGTTTTCGCAATATGATCTGAAAGGGCATATTTAAAAAAAGAAATAATCTTGTGACACAGCACAATATTATCACATGTTTACCTATTGCATGTTTGAATATGCTTTGCAAGTTTACTCAATTTAATGGGGCTTACTCCCAAGTAAGCAGGTATATGGCAGCCTCCTAGCAAATGACCATGCATAGACAACTTTATGCTGGCATCCGATTAAAGTCCAAGAAAGTTGATTGCCTAATAGATGTATCTGTCCTTTAAGGTGCCACAAGGCTGTTTTATTTTTATTTAAAATATGTCTTTATGAAAGACTCCCCCACTTGCTGGTTTGGACTACAATTCCCATCATTCATGCCCATTGGCTATCTTGAAGTCCAAGACTTCTGAAGGTGCCAGGATGCCTACTCCTGGACTGACACTTCCTGGATAAACGTTCAAGGAACTGAAAACTCAGGTCCATTGAAAATATTCAAAAGAGTAAGCAAAGTTTACCATTCCTACCCAGTCTGTTAGGAGAGTCACTACGAGGAAATCCAGTGGAGCAAGAGGGCGGGTCTGGAAGCTAAGCATGGCTTCTCCAGGTCAGCTTTTCCTTTCTTTAACAAGTGGTTTTTCAGGATCCTTGCAAGATTGGCAACAGGGGATGCTGGCTGTGATGCTTTCCCTCAATTTGAAAGTTAGAGGGAAACCTACTTCCCTGGCAAGGAGTGAGTAAACACAATGGGACACAGATATGAGATCACCTTCCACACCTTGATATGCACCAGGAGAATATAATCTGGAGTAAATAAGTCTGAAAACTAGTTGTGTTTCCAGACAATACTTTGTTTAATAACAAATTCACAGAATTTCACAGTGGCGTCCAGACAGTTGTCTTCCATAAGAAGCCCCCTGTGTTTCCAGTTGTTTTCTTACCCTAGAAAAACCATTAAAGAAGGAAAGATGGAAAAGCTAAGCTGCGTCACGTCCTTTGGTTGATAACATCAGAAGTCCTCTGTCTGAAAGTGCTTCCATTTATTTGCCACCAATGGAAATATCTTTTAACTGCGTCCCGTATTCGGTTCTCTGCTCCTCGCATGAGAACTGGAGACTTCACCTTATTCTTTTCCATTGTCACGCCGTGCTGGGAAATGACACGGAATAGGTGAGATGGCTTCATTTTGAATCGCTGTCTCCGAAAGTAACACAGAGAGATCACAGATTTTTGCAAGCTTTCTTCCAAAAGAAAAGGAAGTAGGGGAAGCGGGGAGATGGTTACTGGTTTGGAAGGGGTGCAAATGCGCTCACTTTCTTAGACCTGCTTGGACTTATCCCTCTGAAATCTCTCCTTTCAGTGGGAACTTACTTCCAGATCACATTGCGGAAGACTGGGGTTGCACCCGGTGCCAGTCCGGCTTAAGTCCCACTCCTTGCAACGGCTTGACTCAAAACAGGACTAACATCGGTTATGTGTCTACCGGGACGCAAGTCGCGCTGCATTGTAATGTAAATGCTCCCATGTAAGTTCACAGCCGGAAAGGACACGTTTACTCAGAATATGCTCCACACCGATTTCAGTGGGGCTTGCTTCCAAGTAACTGCACGCGGCGTTGCGTCCTTTGGTGTTGCTACTCCCAAGGAAACCTCATCAGGTTTGGGGTGGGGGTCATCCCAGATACGGCCACAGGATTGCACCCAAGAGCGACGGCTGCCCTCTGTGCCAGCTTCTCCAGACTCGTGTGCCCAAGGGCAGCTCTTCCAACGGGGAAGGCGAGGGAAGGGACCCGCTGCGGGTTTTTTTATTTTTCTTTTGGAGGGGGCGCCTCTGTAGGTGTGCGTAGGCAAGCAAGAGGTGATCTTCGCGGCTGACCTATAAGACCTTAAGCAGGTATCCGAAGGAGTCGGATGCAGAGCAGATGTTGGCGCTGGGTCGGCGGGCTCGTTTCTTGCTGCCGAGCGCCGCCTTCCTCGTTCTTGCCAGGGAGAGGGCCGGGGGAGGGGCGGCTGGCTTGAAAGGAAATCCAACCCTGAATCAGGAGCTCCCCACTTCGCCCCCTCCCCCGCACACCTCCCCTTGGCCAACTGTGCGGGCTTTTCTGTGCGAAGAACCCACTGCACGCGGCAAGACGCTTCCCCGACCGGCCGCGGCGGGACGGCTCCGGAATCTCGTGTGCGGGGCACGCCGCTCGGTCTTCGGCATCCCGCCTCGGTCGCGCTGCTTTTGCTCCTTCCGCGGCGTTTGTCGTGCTACTCGGAGCTCTTGGGTCCAGTGGGGGTCTCTTGAGCGCGGCGTTGCGCTCCTGGAGGCTAGGAAGGCGTCAGTAAGGAGGCTACCTCTGAGCAAGTGCAGAGTCCCACTCTAGAAACATGCAAAGACATTCCCATGACGGAAAGACAGGTATTGCGTTGCTGCAGCTGTCTGTGAATAATGGGGAGATGTCTAGGGCGGAGAGTTGGACAGCCAGCCAAAGCCAAGACCCGACAGCTCCCACTTTTAGGACACTGGCGCTAGGACGAGAGCGGGGAGTGGAATGATCTGGACATGTGTCAGAAAAACTGATGAGAAGGTTGCAGAACTGCTGGGCATCTGGTTTAACAATCCGACTGAGTCCAATGACCCTTGGATGCTAATCCCAAAGACAGGAGCAACCCATCACAGGAGAAAGTGCAGTGCGTGTGTTTTCCATGCAGGTTTAAGTTCCTGGCATATCCACTCAAAAGTAGAAGCTAAGGAAATAATCCTGGCTGCAGGATCTGGGCAGCAACTGCTGCAGTGTTAATGCTGGACTGTAAGGACAAATTACAGTCTTGGTCTCACGTTCCTGAATGTGCCCCCCCCCCCCCACCGGTCCTTGATCAGCCTTACTTGGTAGTCAGTTTCCTTGGTTCAGGTCAAGGGGACTCATTTGCCAGTTGTTTTCTGCCTAGCTCCTGGAAGCAAAGATGCAATAAAAATATATAAAATACTTCCAGGTAAGTCACCTGAGAGTCTGGGTCTAAAATTAGCCGTATTTAATGCCAGGTCTTTAGTCAAATAGTTTAAAGTTAATTTATAGGGGGAAGCTTTTTTTGCCATCTGCTATTGCAAAACAAACAAAACAAAGCAGCACTCCCCCCCCCCCCCGCCCCCCACCCAGGTGCAGGAAAAAGTCTTGGAGCACCTTAAAGACCAACAGCAATTTATCTTTGGTGGCCTAGAAAAAGTGGACTCTGCCATAATAAATCTGCCTGCCTTTAAGGTGTTGCAAGGATCGTTGTAGTTCTGTGAATATGACCAAGTTCTGTAACATGTCACTCTTTTACAAATATTATCATTGTCACAAATCAAGAGAGAAAGAATTTTCTGGAGTCTAGAAAAAATATCATTGCCCCAAATTTCTAGGTACCTACAAATACATGATCTCCTGATTTAAAACATAATTAGTGCTGTTTCTTTCAGCCTTCTCATTGACCCAGCTGTAGGGTAGGCCAGATTGATTGATCGCTGGAGACCTATTCCTGAGCTGCCTTGAGAATCTTTGTTTAGCACCCCTTTGCCACCCCAGCCCCCTTTTAATTTCCTTCACTTGGAGGGTTGTGATCCACTATTGACCAAAGATGAATTGTGCCACCAGACCCACAGCCATTTTAAATTAATCCTTTTCAAGAGAAGAGGCAAAAGATGGTGTGTGGCTGCAAGACACAGGGAAGAGGTAGGCATCTAAGGCACAAATAATTATATTGGAACTCAATACTATACATGTTTAGACAGAAAAAAAGTTTAACAACTCCCAGCATACCCTAACTTGCATGAATGGCTGAGGAATGATGGGTTTTTGATTTTTTTTTCTAAACATGCATGGGATTACACTCTTCATAAAATAAGTGCATCCCATATTGCAGGCTCATTTTGAAGACACATCTGATGTTTGGAAATGTGTACACAATGCCCTTATAAACCCAGTGTTTGTCTTGAAAACTGATGGCCTAACTGTATGTCAATGCTCTCTGAGTGTTGGAAATGAGAGGAAACAGTATTCTTCCTGATACTCCATCATAAATGCAATGAACTTGGAAACAGTGGACCCATTGCTATTGTAGGCTTTAGAATCAGGGTGCTGATCTGACATCCTAAGCAGGCTCATCTTCATGAAACTGCTATTTTAGGAGTCAAGGCTGGATTCCAAGGTAAGAGACACACAATGTTACATAGATTGCAACATTCATTGTAACCAATGAGTGTTCTTTGGGAAGTTACTTTTGTGAAAACATTTCACAATGCGATTTGATGGACAATTCATTGGGAAAAAGCCCACTGGAGACAGTACTCTTTTGGCCTACATTGCATGTTTCACCTGCTTTATTCATCCTCAATAGCTTTCACAGAGATGTGAATACATGTAGATCAAAACATTTCCGTATTCCTTTTCATTTCATGCTTTGAGCAAGATCCAGGCAAAATGAAACACATTTATTTCTTTGGAGTCCAATTTTCTGGCTGGCTGGAAATGGCACCACCCGGCTGCCTATGAGCATTTGTTGAAGTGAATGTGCAAGAGCTCTGATGATCTTGATAGCATCTAATCCCTCTGGTTTAGCAGATTTTTTGCCTACTTGTGCTTCTCCTGCTGCTCCCCCCTTGAATCTTTCTGCAGGGTGGGGTGGGTGAGGCTTGAAATCAGACGTCCCTCTGTCCCCTTTCCATTCTTCCCATTTTACAAATAGGGATAGCCTTAGGAGATAGGCTCCTTTAAACACACACACACACAAACCTTGAATGTGTGTGAACTGGCATGTGTAATGTTCTTTTTTCTTTTCCCTTCCCCTTCCTTTGGGCCTGAGCAACGAATCTTTTCAGCACCTAAGACTGCTCCTGGTGCTGGTCTCTCAATGGGATGGCCATTTCTCTGATTCAGAGTTCTCCATTTCTGAAACAGGAATACAACCTACCTCCTTCATTATGGGAAGGATGGCCAAGACCAACATAAGAAAATACTCTAGAAAATGGAACGTTACAGAATGAATGATAACATTACTTTCTTTTTAAACCAGGAAGTGGCTGTTACTAGTGGAAATTCAGCACTCCCTTCTTAAGCAGAGCATCCTTCTGATCTGAGACATGGATGAGAATGAGGAGGAAGGGGTGGGCGGGGGTGTACGTGTGTCTACCAACCCATGCAGATCTGGGGCCATGCTGTGGTTGCTGACCTTGTCCCTGAGCAACCCAGATCCAAATCTCTTCAGAAATCCAGTTGGTGGCCATGAAGGTGATCCACCATCTCCTAGTCTGAGATTGGGTGGGATTATGAGCCTGAGGACAGCTTCGAACTTTGGTAAAGGGCTGTTTCCACCTGGTTTGCAAAGTACTTCTCTTGGAAAATTCAGGCCATCACTTTCTGAAGATGTAGAAAATCACACTTCCCAGGCAACACAGAATGTAACATGTAGATCTAGAGCTGCTGGGCAATTGGGAGGACGGAGAGGTGAAGGGAATACCCCTAATAACTTGTCTCTCCCAGCCAACTTGCTACTGATAGACTCACATGGTAACAGAAGGGAAAGGTACCTCATAAACACAAGCATTATAACCAATCCCTAAACTGGGAATGAAAACCAGGCTGCAGTCGGAATGCTTCCTTGAAAGTGAGCTCCATCAGACCAAAGGACTTGCTCCAGTGAACCAACATTTGGAATAGGGAAGAATGTGAGATGTACCATCATTTCTCTTTCAGATGTCTGATAACCTGGTCCTGCTTCTGAAGCACCCCTGCCCCCATACATACATATACATATTCAGGCATTCAGGCATTCAGGCACTCATGCACACACTGATATTAGATCAAATGAAGGATCGTGAAGATGAAGGATCACAGAACACATTTCTGAGTTCTGCAGCTCTTTTCATCAGGCACCTTTCTGTCAGCCTGCTTTTTGTAACTTCTTGCTGCTGAAGAGATCTAGAGGTTCCAAGAACTTATACTTTTTTTCAGTGATATGTAACTTGGCCTAGTGAAGATATTATTCTGACAAAGAATTGGGGGTCCGTGTTCTGCTGCCATTGGGACAAGGATGAGAGAGCAGTGGCTCTCACTCTACTCCATCTCCTGGTCATGTAAGACGGTTTGACCCCAGGCTTGTCCGAAAATGACAAACTTCTACTTTATGCCAAGGAAATCATGCAACTTTTTGTTTGTGCAGCTGGAACATGGTTTTGTGTCTGTTGTTGTTGTTATTTTTGGTCACTGGGGGTACAAATGGAAAAGAAACAGGTCCCTGCCCCCAGGTGCCTCACAATTTAAAATAAAGAAAACAATAGGAGCCCAGAAAGGGCTGGAAGAAGGGAAGCCTTTGCTGGTGCATGGCGGGCCCTTTCCCCCACTCATCCTAATAGCTCAGAGTGGGTTTCTTTCATCTTCATGATACTTGGAAATAAATAAAAACAAAAGGCAGCTTGCACTTGTTCACAGCTCTCATTCATCTCTATGGAAAGTGTGCAGAAGGACATCTCCATTGGTTGGGCCTTTTTGCCATGGCTTCCCACCCACATTGTTTTTCTGCTCTTTGTTTGATTAGCCAAACTGAAAGATGCCCTTGCGCCGACTGCCTGTGCTAAATGGAGCCCTTCTCTTGCATGCAAAAATCCAACTTAAAACTTGGGAGCCTGCTTGATTCCAGATACCCTCTAAACTCCCTTCCTAGGGAGTTAATCCAACTGAGCACACCAGGGCTTCTTTTGGAGTAAACACGCTTAGGGTCTCACTGCTGGGCTTTAGACACAGTCTCTGCATGCAGAAGATTTTACATGCATGTGTTATATTGCTGTGTGCTGGAGGCCTGGAAAAAAAACTATTAATAAATACAAAATATACCAATCTACTTTCTTCTCTCACCTTTGTAAATTCCAGAAAGGACCTCATTTTCCTGGCATGTCTTTAATCAAAACATCAATATATACTGAGAATGGAAGAACAGCAGTGAAGGATGGATCAAAAACCATCAATAAGGTTTCACTCCTATGCATGAGAAAAAGGGTCTACAACTCTCAGCATCTCATGACCAGGATTCTATATGATCACAGTCACAATCTTCCAGAGGAGAAGCATGCTTAAATATATCTTACTGATTTGAAAGAAGAAGAATAATTAAAATTCCCACTCCTACCCTGCTCCAGGAAATCTTTTGCCCCCTGAACTCCCAGCTAAGGTTGAAGCCCTGTGCCCTTCATCTCGCAAAAAAGCTTCTTTCTGAGTTAACAAGTGCAGGACTGCTACATCTGCCCTTCTAAAACCAGCTGTATTGCCCTTCTCCTTTGATCTTGGGAACATCAA